GCTGTACTCACAACATTACAGTTTCCATTCCTTTGCTGCAATACAGACCTAGCTTTCTGATAAGCATCTTCTGTCCCAATCAGAAGATAATGTTCCACAACTTGCTTTGGCTTTCCAGTTACATACTGATTCAACATATTCAGCTTGATGTCTGCTGCCAGTGGTCTAGAGTCAACTAGAGCATTAAAGGCACTCTTCCACACAGGATATTGCAGGGGGTCTCCTTCAAATACTGGAATGATCAGTTTTGGAAGTTGTCCAGAAACAAACAGTTCTTTGCTCACAGTACTTTGTTCTAAGTTAGCTTCTGTTAACTTGTCCATACACCTTTCTAATGATGAAGCAACCTTTTCCCACCCTTCACAGAAGGAGTTAACTTGACCTTGAGGATGAACAAACTGGTAACTTGAAGGGGAATTCATAACTGTTGACATAATTGGTGATGGACCACTTATGGAGTTAGTTACAACAGGATCAGTTTTTGCCGACGAGAAAGCTTGTGTACAAGCTGCTTCTGTTTGAATGGGAAAACCAAGTTCAGGTTCAAAATGACGAACAGCAAATACTGACTGTGTTATGGCTCCCGGGGAGAATGATGGAGCAGAAGCCCACAGACCACATGTTGTAGTCTTTGGTGTGGATGTTGTTGTCAAAACAGGTGTTTGGGATACATGTACTTGGGACTGAACTGATGTATTAGTCTCATTTGCACGGGTAGTTACTGTTAGAGATTGCAAGAATCTTTTCACTCCTTCACCTTTACTCTCACTAGGAAGATTGACTAGATCTTCTTCAAGGGAGGGTGTTTGCTCATTATCAATCTCTTTGCATACACTTAACTTGGCTCTACTAAGTTCAAGTTCCCTCTTAAGTTTGAATTCTTCCAGTTTCTGCTCCTTTTTTAACCTTTCTATTTCTAAGGCCTTTTCTTGTTCCACATAGGGTAGCTTCACCTTCAAAGCAGCTTCTTCCTGTAGAAGCTTATATTTATCTACTTTAGTTGAAAGTACACTGTCTGAACTTGACTTTGACTTGACACTTTTGGTTGTCTTACTCCTCTTTGAACCCTTAGAAATGACAGAATTAGACTCCAAAACTGTTTGTTCCAAATACTTTATCTCATCCCTCACATCCCTTTCAAAATCAGACCACTCACCACAAACTTGCTCCCAGATGTTCCTGACCTTTGCTAACTCATCGTCTTGAACTGTTTCCAAAATGGCATTATATGCATCCACAAATTCATTCCACAGAACCTGTGCCTTACTAAGCTCTTGCTTCCACTTTGATAATTCATTACAATGTCCCCGAAGCAACAGTGTTTTTCTCAGTGTTCCCGTAAAACTTGACCTTTTATTCTTGAAAGAGTTCAACTTTATATCGTTTTGATAGGATTGACCCTTTTCGGTTAGCTTCCTAATACGAACTTCCGACGAATGCTGTTCATTTTCCACATGGAAAAAACCTTTGTTTTCGGCATTCTCCGATAGATCAACAATTAAAGGCGAAGACTTCTCGCAAACATCATCCAAACAATAATTTGAAGTGGAACTTACCACCTCACCACAAACATCCGACATTGAACCCTCAGGA